CAGATGGTCCTCTGCCTTCACCGCCTGGGTCACCGTCTGGCCGTTGCGTAGAAGAGGCCGATAAAACTGCTAGTCCGAGCGGCCAAAGAAGCGTCAACTGCGTGAGCATGTTGCGTGATGCTTAAACCGCTGCTCGTGTGGGGTCCGTTTATAGTGTTCCAGAGGAGTGTGGACATCGGCCATGATCACAATTACATTATCGTGGGCGGCACGATGTGAGGGCGGAGGTAGTGATTGTATCCACGGTTCCGATGTCGTTGAAAGTCTGACACATGTACATGAGGGCATGTCAAGCAGTGTTAATACCCAGATGTGGGACGGGTGTGGCTGTATGCCTAGGAACGGGTTTCCACTGCATCAGTCACTATTGCCCTCTGCCGCCGCAGGGCTTCTTAACTTGATAATGACACCGGGTACAGATGGGAGAGTAGGAGAGGGTGTGTTAGATACTGTGCAAGTCCACTGTCACTATAAACTAAATCACGCGCAAATCACCATCCCTACAGCGAACTTACCGGAGGGCGGGGGGACACAGTGGAAATATGTAGTTAAGTGATGCCGGTCGAAATTTTGTGGACACGTGTCCTATTCAACGGACCTTTAATTGTAGTTGTTCCGCCTTTCGGGAAAGGCAAATGAGGAGTGCAGAGGGAACGGAGATACTGAGACCATAATTATTTCAGTGTTAACGAGATATCATCCAGCTAGCCGTAATCCTGACCAATAAGCCGATAGGCGTAGGAACATATGCAGAGTGACAGAGCAGACATCGCATCGGTAAGCCCAATTTTCGTAAGTGCCTCTTCGTTGACCAGGTTTTATAGGGGAGGGAATAAATCGGATCGCTACGAATTAGAGACCGGATACCGACGACTGGTATATGCCAACTCTTCCCAATTTGGCTGTGTTAAAAGGCGAATTCTAGTGATTTTCGTACCTTATGTGAGAGTTCAAGAAAGAAGTCACAGGTGTGTTCTCCAATATAATGTTATTGCAAGTATCTATACTAGTCCTTAATATGCTTTCACAAACCCCTTGTTGATACCAGTCAAAAGAGCTGTGATGTTCTCAGGGAACGGTTGCCATTAGTGTCAATAATTAACACATACTGGGTTTGGTGAGGTAGTTGTAATTGCGGTTTATAGCCGCCTCAGGTGGTCAGATGACTACGAACAACAGGCGAAGATTTTCCGATAAGTACAAGGGCCTTCTCTGTATTATATGTCACCTTAGGCCAGCCGTATGCGACCCCAGGCGAGGCAGACCCAACTAGCGCCTGAACTAAGAAGAGAACTGAAGGGTACGGATCCGTCTAACTTTTGTCACGGACTGCGCATGTTGCGTCGAGTCTTGTTTGGTTTCTCGTACGCCATTTCTGTGCGCTGCACCCGAGCCACAGTTAAGACCTGTTTTCTGTAGACATGTAAAAGTTTCATAAAAAGATACTTCCAGGGATCTGCGAGCATGAAAAGGCTTGAAGTTACACGACTTCTTGGACTCCGCTCGCCAAAGAGTTCTCTCATTAAACAGTGCGCCGTGCATGAAGGTCAGAAAGGGTCAGTGCATGTATCGTGACGCACTATGCGCCATTGTCATGTGCAGGCTCCGGCTGTAGAGGCTGGTTGCCATGCCGCTGCCCCGATCATCGTGTTACTATGTTAAAATCCTAGTCAAGCGTTTGATGTGGATCACAGGTCATAGTAGTACATGTAGGAGCGGATTTCGCCGTGCCAGCCACCTGAGCCCGATGCCACCTCTGGTCCTCTTGACTCTTTCATGACGCCGGGTCCAGGTGAAAGAGAAGGGGGGGAGGGAGACCTGTAGGTGCACGCAACTCTACTATCACTTGAAACTAATTCACGCGCAAGTCACTGTGTTTGCATCTGGTCGGCGTGTAGCGCGCGGTGGACATGGTCGAACTATAATGAGTCGATCAAGGGACTAGAGAGAAAGAAAGTGATAGGCTTTATTTTGAACCAATTATTCGAAAAGTTCCACCATTCCCTTTGAATAAAATAAGGCACAGAAACCACACAACACCGGGGTATCGGAAGTAATGCTTACTAGCCACGGACATCGTTTGAAGACATCTTGGCGAAATGTCCTTGAATATGTCGCAAAATGTAGGCTAAGTCAAACTTCCTTCAAGTCGGCGCTGCTGACCTCCTTTTTGTAGCTTAAATAAACAATGAAGGGTAAAAATAAGTTTCTAATGGACGCACTGGGCCAACCGATGTATATATAGAGAAATTTACATGCGAATGAAGGGGAGAAAAAATGGCGGCTCAATTTCACAAGCAGCCTCAACACAAACGATGCGGATGTTGGTGTAAATGTGCTGGCCCTGAAAGAGTGGGACAAAGTCGCTTGAATTGACCTCTTATCTGGGAGGGTAAATCTTAGTATTTGCCACTGCACTCACTTGACTTGCCAGGATTAGAGACGGCAACCGTTCATCAAGCCTTTGTCGATGCTGCCTTGGTGTTTTGGTAACAACAGAAGGTCACAACACGGGGTCTGATGAAAGGGTGCCCTGAATGCTTCGTGTGATGATAGTAATACACTCACTCACCAATCAGGTTATAAAAAGTTTTGGTTTGTTTTTGCTTTAGAGTCAGTCAGTCGTATAGTGATAATAGGTACAGGTAAATAAGTTGATACTGACAATTTCTGACTTGTACGCCGTTATCAGTCTATAACGTTCAAGCCTGGAAACTTATATCGTAATTAATAATCCCGATCAAAACGGAGAGGACAGTGGACCCCTGTGTCCCGGTTAGAGCGTCTGACTCGGTGACCAAAGATCCCGGTTTAA